GGGGAGCAGGGGGTGGGGGTTAAGCGGCTCTGCGCTAACGAAGGGCTGAATTAACGCGTTGCGGTAACGAGGCCATCTCATTTGAAGCCCCCTCCGCTTCGAGCCACGTCTTGCATCCTCGTGTCTCACCAAAAACCCCCCAAATTCCTTCAAAATCCCCCAATTTTTACATCCTTAAATCCCCTTCTCCGGAAGATGGAATATATTTTTGCCGTGGATCCGGCCTTTTATTCCCCGCCCCCCCCCAACTCCCTCTACAGCCCAATTAACGCTCCCTCGTTAACGATACCGCCTTGTTAAGGTTTATCGAGCGCCAATGGTCGCACGCTCGGCTACACCGGGTTCACCCCAGGCCGTATGCAAATGCGTTACCAAAATTATTTTTCCTGACCAGCTGCCGCTAACGAACCCAACGGCAAAAAAGCGCCCGCGGACGGGCAGGATCCGGCCCAGGGTGGTGGTGGTGGGGAAGCGAGATACTCACAGACGATGCGGAAGTGGAAGAGCCAGGAGATGTTGGGGCTCCTTTCCATCTGTAAAAAACAAAGAAAGGGTTAAATTTGCCCAAAAAAGCTGTTTTTACGCCCGTTTTCTCGCTCCCCCCGGCACTCACAAAATCCACCCGGTCTTCAGCCAACCAGTGGAAGCACTTGAGGAAGAGGAGGAGGGTGAAAAGGGCGACGAAGCGCGGGCTGAAGTCATCCCTGAAGACGGTGAAGGCCAGGCAAGTCTCCGTCACGGCGTACCACGACCGCTCGAGGAGGTGCTGCGGGGATGGGGGGGGTGAGGGGGGCGTCCCCCCAACCTTCACCCCCTGGGTTTTGAACCTAAAATGGTGCTCAAGGCCTTTTGGGGTTCAAAATCCCCCCCAAAATGGGGACCAAGGCCTTTTGGGGTTCAAAATCCCCCCCAAAATGGTGCTCAAGGCCTTTTGGGGTTCAAAATCCCCCCCAAAATGGGGACCAAGGCCTCTCAGGGTTCAAAATCCCCACCCCAAAATGATGCTGAAGGTCTCTTGGGGTCCCAAATCGCCCCCAAAATGGGGATCAAGGCCTCTCGGGGTTCAAAATGGCCCCCAAAATGGGGACCAAAGGCTTCTTGGGGTCCCAAATCCCCCCCAAAATGGTGCCCAAGGCCTCTCAGGGTTCAAAATCTCCCCCCTGAAATGGGGACCAAGGCTTCTCAGGATCCAAAATCCCCCCCCAAAATGATGCTGAAGGTCTCTTGGGGTCCCAAATCGCCCCCAAAATGGGGACCAAGGCCTCTCGGGATTCAGAATCTCCCCACAAAACGGCTCCAAAGGTCTCTTGGGGTCCCAAATCCCCCCCAAAATGGTGCCCAAGGCCTCTCAGGGTTCAAAATCTCCCCCCTGAAATGGGGACCAAGGCTTCTCAGGATCCAAAATCCCCCCCCAAAATGATGCTGAAGGTCTCTTGGGGTCCCAAATCGCCCCCAAAATGGGGACCAAGGCCTCTCAGGGTTCAAAATCCCCACCCCAAAATGATGCTGAAGGTCTCTTGGGGTCCCAAATCGCCCCCAAAATGGGGATCAAGGCCTCTCGGGGTTCAAAATGGCCCCCAAAATGGGGACCAAAGGCTTCTTGGGGTCCCAAATCCCCCCCAAAATGGTGCCCAAGGCCTCTCAGGGTTCAAAATCTCCCCCCTGAAATGGGGACCAAGGCTTCTCAGGATCCAAAATCCCCCCCCAAAATGATGCTGAAGGTCTCTTGGGGTCCCAAATCGCCCCCAAAATGGGGATCAAGGCCTCTCGGGGTTCAAAATGGCCCCCAAAATGGGGACCAAAGGCTTCTTGGGGTCCCAAATCCCCCCCAAAATGGTGCCCAAGGCCTCTCAGGGTTCAAAATCTCCCCCCTGAAATGGGGACCAAGGCTTCTCAGGATCCAAAATCCCCCCCCAAAATGATGCTGAAGGTCTCTTGGGGTCCCAAATCGCCCCCAAAATGGGGACCAAGGCCTCTCAGGGTTCAAAATCCCCACCCCAAAATGATGCTGAAGGTCTCTTGGGGTCCCAAATCGCCCCCAAAATGGGGATCAAGGCCTCTCGGGGTTCAAAATGGCCCCCAAAATGGGGACCAAAGGCTTCTTGGGGTCCCAAATCCCCCCCAAAATGGTGCCCAAGGCCTCTCAGGGTTCAAAATCTCCCCCCTGAAATGGGGACCAAGGCTTCTCAGGATCCAAAATCCCCCCCCAAAATGATGCTGAAGGTCTCTTGGGGTCCCAAATCGCCCCCCCGCCATCGCTCACCTCCATCTCCGCCGCCCGCAGCTGACCGAAAAACACCTTGCCCATAAATTTACCCAAGAGAAAAACCAAAACGAAGGCCTGGATGTAGAGAACCTGCGGAGACGAGGCGGGGGGAAAAATTAGGAGGGGAAGGAGGTGAGACGGAAGCGGCGGTGATGGGGGGACGGCGCAACCAAAACCCGTTTCGGCGACAACCGGATGCAGGGGAGGGTTTGGCGCCGCAAATTTGGGTCCCAGGGGATGGAGGAGACGGCGATTGGGCACCGGCTCGGCCCCAACCCCATTTTGGGGCTGCCCGAGGGTTCTTGCGCAGGTAGGAGGCGGCGGAAGCGGCGTCTTCCCAC